AAAAAAAAAAAAAAAAAAAAAAAAAAAAAAAAAAAAAATCGAAAACAAACCAGATAGAACGGGTTGAACGATGTCGATTACAATGCATAAACAGAGCAAAGGGGTTAGCTCCTTCACAATTTGTCTCACAGCAGAATCACTTGAAAACAAGAATGGATAATCATTCTTTGTCACAAGAACAACAGCCGCCATTATGAGACCAAGAACAAACGACGATATTACAGCCACAATCAATGAAAACCTTGCTGTTCTTGGATGAGCTGCGCCCAACTCATTCGAGACACGAACACTGCAAATTTAGTCTCTTAATCACTAATTAATTTGTATTAAAGTGTAATTAAGAGTGATTAATCTGTTGTGTTTAGTACCTTATGGCAGCATTGATTCCAAAAGATACCATCACCATCCACCCCAAGATGTTCATGCTGCATTAAATTATACACAAAGTATCTTACAATCTCAATTTGAGTTTAAATATTATGTATTAGACAAAAAGTTAGTAGGTTTAAATCTCGAGTAAACGATAAGTACATGAATGAACCTAGATCACATATAAATGAGAATTATCACGAGAATATGATTGTGAGATTCCGCATCGGTTGGAGAGGAACACGAAGCATTTTTTATAAGGGTGTGAAAATCTCGCGTTTTATAAATCTTCAGGGAAAGCCCAGAAGAGAAAGGTTAAAGATGACAATATCGGCTAGCGATGGGCTTAGATTGTTACAATGATGGTTAAGAAATTGTTAAAGAATTGGTTGGATTGATGACTGAAGTGATCCAAATAAAGTTCACCCCCCAAAGTTAGGTTGGCTGGTTAGATTGTTATATTAATAACTAAAATCTCATAAAATTCAAATATAAAACATTTATAAATCACAACTCAAAAAACAGAATAAGGTTGACTTGTGTTGTAACTCTATTTCTAAGTTGGTCCCGACCTATTTTTACAAGTCAAGCAGGTGATGTGGTTGTAACGACCCACGCCAAGAAAATCCAGCTCAGGATTCAGAATCCGAATTTGACACATGAAGACCCCAACATTTTCCACATCCTCTACGACATAATTACGTTACCTACTCTTTTAAGAGCAAAGATTATTCACACAGACCAACACAAATCCTTCCAACATGTTTTATTCTCACTTACATGCATCTTAAGAAAATTTCTATGACTTAACTGTAAAATTCTTATGATCGAGCCACCGAAAAGAAAGGTGCACCCTGTTAGTATAAATAGTAACCATCAGTTTTTTTCCAAGTCTTTTCCTAGTCATTATATCCTTCCCTCGGGTGCACAGTAGTCATATCACAGGGTAAGCTTAGAGCCATCAAGTGCCGAATCCGACTTCCAAATCTTAAACATGGGTTCGACATCCATTGGGGTTCCTCAAAGTGATAGGTGTTTTATAAATTTGGTTAGACAAGATTTGCAATTAATGAAAGGCATTAATCACTTTTATCATAAATTAATTGATTTTGTCGTTTTGTATCAACATTTCACAAATTTTATATCATTTCGGCTCTAATTTGCCTCAACAAACACAGCACGTATTACTTAAAATATAATTATAATAATTATCTTTAATTACTTAATTATCTTTAATATATATTTTTTTTACAAACCCAAACAAAATTAAAAAAAAAAAAAAAAAGTAGTTTTTAAAAATACTTTTTAAATATGACTAAATATATAAATGTTTATTTAAAATTGATTTATTAACCTAAATAATTCAGTTCATAAATTTTTTAAAATTAAAAAATTATAAAAATTATTTGAAATAAAATTAAAAAATTAAAGATAAATTATACCATTTTTTAAATTTAAAATTTATTAAATACACAATATTAATCGGTATAAATATTTTAAAATAATAATAATATTAAATAGACACTGCAAAGTCTGACTTGTGCCCTATGCATAAGGTTTTTAATATATATAAAAATAAAAATAAAAATAAAAATAATAAATAATGGTATTAATTACGTACCATATAGACAAGGCTCCGATAGAGACTTCTGCATTCTTGAGATATCCCGCAAACAGTATCAAAGACATAAAATACCATATCTCCAAACTGCACGATAATAAAAACCCTTTTCAATGATGAACACGACTCTCCACAATGGTATGATATTGTTTACTTTTAGTATAAGCTCTTATGGTTTTGCTTTAAACTTCTCTAAAAAAACCTTATACCAATGGAGAGAGTATTCTTTGTTTATAAACCCATGATCCTTTCCTAAATTAGCAGATGTGGGACTTTTATCATCCCACACAATATACAAACATGTCTTTTCAAATAAATTTTCAATATTAGTTAATATATCTTAGTTATTATGAAATGTACCAAAGCATCACGGCCGACGCTAGAGAGAGTTTGACGAAACCCCAAAGGCTTTGAAATGCTCTCCACGAGAAACCCGTCCAAGTTTCCCTACAACCCCCACTCATAATATAAACAATTTGAGCTACCACAATCAACCACCACGACGCGTTTAATATCACTGCACCTCCCGCTAGGCCCCACCCTAGCTTCAGCATCAACAACCAACTAAAGAACGCATGGAATACCTATTGGAGATCGATAATAAAAAAAAAAATTGAATTACAAATTTAGTGTCTCTAAATTTGAATGTTGTATCAATCAATTTTTAAAAATTTAATGTCAAATCTCATATCTGTTGGGAGAAGATCCAAACATTCTTTAAATGGGCATGAAAACAACTCCTAATTACGTTTTAAAAACTTTGAGTGGAAGTCCGAGAGGAAAAACCTAAAAAGAACAATATCTAGTAACAGTAGACTTGAGTATGTTACAAAATGGTATTTGAGTCAAAAATGGGTCAATGTGCTAGCGAGGAAACTGAGCCTCGAAGGAAAAGGTGGATTAGAGGGTCCCACATTGGAGAATGGAACGAATACAAGCGAAGACACTGAGTCTCACAAAGGAGTGGACTGTAAGATCTAACATCGGTTGGATAAAAAAACGAAACATTTTTTTATAAGTACGTGGAAACCTCTCTCTAATATGCACCTTTTAAAAATCTAAGAAAAAACCATAAAGGAAAAAGACTAAAAAGAACCGTTAATAAATACGGTTTTCAAAGTGGGGACTAAATTTATAATCTAATCCATTAAAAAAATAATAATAATAATAATAATAAAATTAAAATAAATAAATGAATTTATCGTGTAATTTAAATTTAAGCATACCAAAGCGACGGCGGATATGACCGACATGGCCATCATCTTGCTCTGAGCCTGCAGGAACTTGGAGATCGGAAAGTTGAGCGCGTAAGCATACAGCTGAGGGATCATCCAAACCGACATAACTCCGGCCGCCTCTGCCACCTCCGCCGTCTGTCCAATCGCCCTCAAAAGCGGCGTCGCAAACACATAAAATGGTGTCAGAATCACAGCCGTTGAAACGAGGATCACGCACGATCTTTGCACGTACACTCCCATCATATCAAGTTGCCCGGCGCCGTACGCCTGCCCGCACAGCGTCTCCAGCGCGCTCCCCATCCCAAGCTGCAGTTCATCATTTTTTTAATTTTTCATTAACAATTAAAATTATTATTAATACGCGATTAATTTCATATATGAAAAGCCACGTGCCATGACGCCGAAAGCAAAACCGGCGATGACGGAGTTTTCGATGGAAACGGCGGCGAGGGCGACGGTGCTGACTTGTCCAGCGAAGAGTTGAGTGATGGCGCCAAAAGAGTATTGGCAAACGGACGTGAACACCGCCGGAGCTGCTAAGTACCATAGCTTCTTTGATTCAATACGAAACTCTCTGTAGAAATCACGTGCGTTGTTGATCGGAGGGATGTCGTCGGCGTCGGGAGCGAAAATGGGCGCCGTATATTCCCGGTTGGATTCCGGTGAGGAGATCCATTTGGTTTTGTCTGTCGGCGGAAGAAGTGGTTGAGAGAAATCCGTCATAGTGGAAGAGATTTGGCGCGGCGGAGGAAGGATCTTTCAGCGTTGAAATAAGAAGTGACAGCGTGTTACTGAAACGGTTGGCAGCTTGCGACGGCGGGTGAGCTGTGCTGGAAGATCGTGGCTGTGGCGGCTTACTTGGACGGTGGGATATGTATGGACTTGCAAATGTTATCCATATTTATAAATTTTTTTTTAAGTTTTAATAATATTATTATATAATATAAATTATATTCATAAACTACCAAAAGTTTTAATTAGAAAGATGAGGTGTAAATAAATAATAAATAATTTTTTTAATAAAAATAAATATTTTTTAATTTAATGAGTATTTAAGGATATTTAGTAATAAATTATAATTTACCATATATATTATATTTGTCTTATTACCATAGGTATATTTCCCATTTATTACTATTTTTCATATCCAGTAATTTATTTGATTATAAATAAGATAACAACATTCACACCATTTAGGTGAGGTGGATTATGCAAACATTCACACCATTTCGTGTGCTAAGGTGTCGGCCTTAAGATGAGTCAAGATCAACCTCACATGGCATGAATGGCTCGACATTGGCTTAGGCAGCTCGACCTATCTAACTTGGCCTCATTAATTCAGTGACATTAATTAACGGTGTTCCATTAGTCTTAAGTTGACTATATTGGTCTTAGTTTGATGGACAAATTTGCTTGGTCGGTCTAATTTTAATTTGACTAATCTTAACCAAACAAAGTTTTTAAAATCAATGGAGAGGACCGAGAAGGATGCACCTCTAGTGTACTAGTTATCGTGCCCACGGTAAACGCTGGGTAGCCAAGTATGGAGCGGATAACTGCTGAAAGCATCTAAGTAGTAAGCCCACCCCAAGATGAGTGCTCTCCTATTCCGACTTCTCCAGAGCTTTCGGTAGCACAACGGAGACAGCGATGGGTTCTCCGCTCCTACGGGGAAGAACTGGTGATGTACATCTTAAAATAGTAAAAAAAAAAAAAAAACATCTAAATTTAAAATACCCTTTCAAATTATTTAAAATACACTATTTAAATGATAAATAAATAAAAAAATCTAAATTTAATAACCACAAATATATATTATTTTTTATCTTTTAAAATTAATAATAAATGAGATTGATTCCAGCGCCTCTATTTTAGATATAAAATCAAGCCACGTGGCGTCAGATGTGTAAATATAAAATTTGTATTTTTCTGTGGGCCTTGCTTCCATCTCGTGTCATCATTTGTGCGGGCAAGCACTTATTTCTGCCCGTCCTTCTCCGGTCCAGCCTTACGAATGGTAGACTCAATTATTGATCTATTTTTACACGTGCGAGAATTAGCAAGAATCGACATCCCCATAATAAAAAATTAATAAATAATTTTCATTTTAGTATAATTTATATTTTAAAATATATTATAATCAAAACTTCAAGTAAAAATAATTATTTATTAAAAACTATTATAATAATTTATTGTTTGTAACTTAGTTTTGATATATGTCGGTAAGAATTTAGCTTGGTCGGTGTCGGGAAGGGAATGGAGAGTATAATCTCGATCTCTATCTCTGTTTTTTTCGTTTTTAAATGAGATTAAAGTCTCACAACTTAAATGATATTTTATAAAATCTGCTTATTTAATTTTTTATTTTTATAAATGTTCAAGATGCTAATAATAATTCTCAATAGTATTTTTGAGACGCGATATTAACGGTAAATAAATAAATATATATATATATATATACTTAATGAAACTTTTGAAATTAGAATATATATTTTTTTAAAGTGTAATAATATTAATGAAATTTTTGAAATTATAATGTATTTTTGAAACACTTTCGAGAGTTATACCGAGGTATTTTTTAAACCTTTTTTTAAAGTTTAATGGTAATTTTGAAATAAATTATTCTCGGGTTCCATCCAAAACTAATAATAATTATATTTTTAAATTTTTTTAGATAAAAATACAAATTTAAAGATATTATTAAAACTTTTGAAACGGAAAAGCAATTGGTAGGTAGGTTTCCAGTGCTTGGCAATGGTGTTCACCAAAAGCTGCTTATTCCTTCTACAGCTAAACTCCCTGATCATCGCTTACAAAGTGCAATCCAATAATTTTTTTGAAGAACAAGAGTAAAATATGATCATCCAATCCAATAGAACAATTAAGTTCTTACGATAAGGATAAATATGTACGCTTGCAAAAGCTTTACAGTAATGGAAGAGTGTATCATGAATTCGGAACGCTACTCGGAAGCTGCCCCCGATCCGTCCGATCACATTCTTGAATAGCCCCTATGATCTTCATATTCCTCCATGAATGCATCGTTGAACTTCTTGAAACTTTCCATGATTCCAGGCATGTCTTCCTCAGCTGGTAAAATGGTTGTCCTCAAATGGAACACCCTATACCAAAGAATCAGCCAAAACGTAGTAATATCGTACATTGTTATGATACAAAAGGATTGTGTTCGAGATATTCAAATTCTAGAAGACGGTTAATGTGAGATCGCATATTGGTTGGAGAAGAGAATGAAACATTTTTTGTAAGGGTGTGGAAACCTCTGACTAGCAAACGCGTTTTAGAAATCTTGAAGAAAAGCCTGAAAGGGAAAGTCTAGAGAGAACAATATCTACTAGCAATGGGCTTGGGTTGTTACAAATGGTATCAAAGCAAGACACTGTACGATGTGCGAGCGAGGAAGCTGAGCCCCAAAAGGGGGTGGACACGAGGTGGAATGCCAGTAAGGACGTTGGGCTCCAAGGGTCGAATTGGGAGTCCCACATTGGTTGGAGAGGGGAACGAAGGGAAAACTCTCCCCAGTAGACGCGTTTTAAAAACCTTGAAGGGAAGCCAGAGAAAGCCCAAAGAGGACAATATCTACTGGTGGTGGGCTTGGGCTATTACAAATGGTATCAGAGTCAGACACCAGGCGATGTGCTAGCGAGGAGACTGAGCCCCAAAAGGGGGTGAACACGAGGCGGTGTGTCATCAAGGATGCTGGGTCCTAAAGGGGAGTGGATTGGGAGGTTTCACATCGATTTGAGAAGGGAACGAGTACCAGCGAGGAAACTGGGCCCCAAATGGGGGTGGATTGTGAGATCCCACATCGGTTGGGGAGGAGAACGAAACATACTTTATAAGGGTGTGGAAACCTCTCCCTAGCCGACTCATTTTAAAAACCTAGTCTGAAAGGGAAAGCCCAAAGAGAACAATACGTGCTAGCGGTAGACTTGGGCTACAATTAAATTAAATTAAAGTGTTTACGATCTTACCCTTCTTTCTGCCCAAAGCCTGAACCAGGAACAGTGGAGATTCCAGTGGCTTCCAAGAGCTTAAGACAGTAGTAAACATCAGGCACTTTCCCCAACTTTTTGGCAGCCTCAATAGCTCTTGGTGGGAGGCGTATTTGTGGGAACGAATACATAGCACCTGTGAACAAATTCACTCATTTTCTTCATCAAATCTTACAATAATCACATTCTGGGAGTGCCCAAAAGCATACCTTCAGTGAAATTGCATATCACATTCCTACAGCTATTGAACCCATCAGTCATTATTCTAGCTCTTCTCCTCAGTGACTCAAGGATCCCCTTGCTGCAAGTGCCCCAAAAGTGATATCAAAAGAATTGAACTAATGAAAACTATGATCTTGCACAACCAAACAGCCATACCTTTCTCTAATGAACTGATCATATGAGATATCACCAGGCTTTGGTGGGTTAACCATCAACCCCATCTGCAAAGAAGTCAGACAATTCACGTGTGCTAGATCTAAACGTTAAGAAACAAGCATGGAACATGTTGAGTGGACTCACGAATATCTGAGCTGGGACGTTCGGGCTAAGTGATATGGAAGCAACCTTGTATATTTCATCGACTGTCTGTAGAGACGGAGATTGAATCTTACATGAGAGTTATAGTACATTGAGAAGTTATTGAATTGAAGAGTGAGGTTGTTAAGTAATCAAACCTTTGGAGGAATGTTGGTCATCTCGAAGTATCCGCCACGTTGTCCACATTCTCCCCAGTATCCTTTTGACACGGTGTGGAACGATATAAGCTGCAGTTCCTTGCTGATGGGTGGACCCATATCAAGTAGTACCTGAGAGATGCAATGGATCATATCATTGAGTTGATGTAACGGTTCAACCCCACTATTAGCAGATATTGTACTCTTTGGGCTTTCGTGTCCATTAGGGAGAGGTTTCCACACCCTTATAAGGAATGCTTTGTTCCCCTCTCCAACCGATATGGGATCTCACAATCCACCCCTTTGGAAGCCCGGCGTCCTCACTGACACACCGCCTGATGTATGGCTCTGATACCATTTGTAGCAGTCCAAGCCCACCGCTAGCAGATATTGTCCTCTTTGGGCTTTCCCTCAAAATTTTAAAACGCGTCCAGAGAGGTTTCCACACCCTTATAAGAAATGTTTCGTTTCCCTCTCCAACCGATATGGAATCTCACAGTTGGACAACCATTTACCTTTCTAGAACTAATGAAGGGGCGTTCATCTTGGTATACGTTTTGCTGATACACCTCATCTCCAAGCAAGACCAAGTTTTCTCGGAAGCAGAAGTTGAGTATCTCTCTCAGATTGGCTTCACTAAGGCATTGCCCAGTGGGGTTTCCAGGATTTATGATCACCATTGCTCTTACCTAACCAAAATCCGACATATAAGATACGAGTTATCGGTATGATTTCAGCCTGAAGACGAACACACTCAAATATGTGAATGTGGGGAATATCAAAACTTGGCATATCAATGTTTAATGAGCTATGAATGCAAGATCGACTACGATAACTCGGTTTCGAAGTTCAAAAACCAAAAACTTTCATTCCTAATTTCATGTTTTATAAAAAAAACTATTAGGATTGCACAACAATGCACACACTCATCTAGATGAACACAAAGTGCACAACAACACACACCCTCATCTAGATGAACACAAAGAACAGGAGAGAAAATGCAAGAAAGAATATTGACTAAAGGTTTATATTGATGACTTCATGTACAGTAATAGAGAATACAGAGAATGCAGAAAGTACATTTTTAAATATTGCCATATATATAGTTCAGTTTACTATATATAGTTTTACCAAATAATCACGGTATATATGCTTCAGTTTACTATACATAGTTTTACTAGATATAATCATCTACTATATA